AAAAAAAAAAAAAAGACATACACCCTCCAGCCACATGTGGTTTCATGCACCTTTAATTCCAGCACTTGGGAGCCTGAGGCAGGAGGATCACAACAAATTTGAGCTCAGTCTGGGCTATATAGTGAGCTCAAGGCCAGCCTGGACTACAAAGTTGAGACCCTGTCTCAAAAATAATAAAAAAAGAATGAGACAGAGATATACCCTCCAAAGGCAAGCCCCAGTGACCCATTCTGGGTGCTACCTTCTAATAGTGCATTGAGCCGTGATAGTATGTTATTCATTATTGAAAATATAAAGATCAGTGGGTTCATCTACTGATGGATATAGCACCCCCATGATCTAACACTTCTCTAGGAATCTCAGTTCAGTTGAGTTGGCAAGTAAGATTAACCAGCATGGTAAGGGACGGTGACTTGTAGAGGCTGGAGGGTGAGGATGCCAGGCAGATGCCACAGCAGGTTCAAGAACTGGAAGGTGAGAACAACCAGATCTTGCCTGCGCTGTGAGGAAGAAACAAGGAGGTCCAAGTGAGCAGACCAGAATGACAGGGATGCAGGGATAAGAGGAAGTTTAGGGCGATTTGGTCATTACATGAGGACTTGGTTTTCAGTCTGAGTGAGGTGGGAAGCCAAGGTAGGTTTGGGACAACGTGAGTTGATTTATGTACTAAAAGAATCAACGGGGTGTGGTGGTGCATGCCTGTAATCCCAGCACTTAGGAGGCTGAGGCAGGAGAATTACTGTGCATTGGAGGCCAGTTTAGACTACATAGTGAGTTCAAGGCCAGCCTGAACTGCATAGTGAGACCCTGTCTCGAAAAACAAAAACAAACAACAACAAATGAACACAAAAAAAAATCAACCTGGCCAGGTGTGGTGGTGCACACCTGTAAGCCTAGCACTTGGGAAGCTGAGGCAGGAGGATTGCTGTGAGTTTGAGGCTAGCCTGGGCTGCAAAATGAGTTCAAGACCAGCCTGAACTGCATAGCAAAATCCTATCTCAGAAAGAAAAAGAAAAAGAAAAAGAGTCAGCCTGGCTGGGTTTGGTGGCACTCACCTTTAATCCTAGCACTCAGGAGGCTGAGTCAGGAGAATCACGAATTCAAGACAGCCTGGACTACGTAGCCAGATGCTGTCTCAAAAAAAATTTTTTTTTTTAAATTTGCTGATGGATGTGAGAGGGAAAGGGTTAACTGTGTCTGCGTGATCTCTGGCCTGAGCATCTGGAAGGATAAAATCACTATTGACCACACTGCAGCACATCAAGAAGAAGCAGGGCAGGAGGGGAAGCAAAGCAGCTCCATCGCGGATGCACTTTCTAGTGGTCCACTGGAATCTAAGTGACAGCGTCAGAAGGCAGGTGGGTATGCACGGTGTCAGGTTAAAGGAAGGCATTTGGGCTACAGATCTGAAAATCAGAGGCTGGGGATTTAGCTCAGCCGCACAGTGCCTGCCTGGCAAGCGCAAGGTCGTGAGTTTGATCCCCGGTGCCGGAAAAAAACAAACAAACAGATTTGAAAATTGAGAGCTCTTGCTTTCTCAGTACATCTGAAGCTTACACTACAAAAATGTTTTCGAAGTTGTGCGTGAAATATTTGTTTTTGTAAATTGCCTATTTTAAAGGCAATTAGGGGAATTGCTGTTTTCGAGTGCGTTGGGCATTGTTTTGCAGAGGAAATTACATTTCGTTTTATCTTTAGAGTGCATGTGGGTCCTATGTTGGAATTATTTCTTGCCAAATGCAGTTACAGACTGTCCAGACTGTCGATTGCTCAGCTCATGATTCTTCTGCTTTATTTTGCAACGTTGTGAAAGCAGTGTGCACGCGTAGGAATCATACTTTGGATTCTGAATTTTGGTCTTTCCCCCTGCTGATGATAGATCTGAGATCTCTCGCACTGCTAGACAGCCGCAGTAGCAGAAGCTGTAACAAGCCCCAGACCCCAGGGTGAACAACCGATGCTCTGCAGTGAGCCAGTGTTCAGGTTAGACGTCTTCGATTCCTGTTGTGTGTGACACTGGGGATCCAACCGAGGGCGCTCTACCACTGAGCTGCATCCCCAGCCCTTGTCTTTCGTTTGGGGATAGGGTCTCACCAAGTTGCCCAGCGGAGACTTGAACTTCCTGCCTTCCCGCCTCAGACCTCCTCAGTGCTGGGACTACAGGTGTGCGTGCCAAGCCTGGCTTATTTTTTATTTTGAAACACGGCTTTGCTGAGTTGCCCAGGATGGCCTCCAACTTGTGATTCTTCCTATTTTAGTCTCCCGAATACCTGGGATGCCAGGGATGCACCATCATGCCTGGCTTTTTAAGGAAATGTTTGCCTTAAGGTGTTTTCCACTTAGGAGGGGTCTGCTAGGATTAGCTGATGAATAAAGTGTAAGTTTCTTTTTATGCTGTAGCAGGTTAGTGGGTTAAAGCAACGCCAGCTTAATTCTCTCGTGATCTGGAGTCCAGAAGTCAGAAATCAATATCTTTGATTGTGTCTGTGTATGTGTGTGTATGTGTGTGTATGTGTGTATATGTGTGTGTATGTGTGTGTGTGTGTGTGTGTTGTGCTGTTGTTGTTGTTGCTGTTTTCTGAGACAGGGTGTTGCTGTTAGTTCAGGCTGGCCTTGAACTCACTGCAGTCCTCCTGCTTCAGCCTTCCAAATGCTGGGATTATGAGAATGTGCTGCTACCACACCTGGAAGAAAGCAGCATCTGAGCAAAATAAAAAATCAGGATGCAGCGGGCAGAACCAGGTCCCCTGTGGAGGCTCCACGGGACAACCTTTCCCTCCCCGCTCCAGCTCCTGGTGGCTGCCTCACTCCCACGTCGGCCTCCACGGCCCCGTCAGCCCTTCCTCTTCTGTGGGCACCAACTTCCCCTCCAGCTCTCTTTTTCAAGCAGCTGTGGTTATTTCTAGGGCACAGATACGTAATCCGGAATAAGCACCTCATCTCAGAACCCAACTCTCATCACTTCTGCGAAGCCCTTTTCCGTGAAAGCACCTTCAGCTTCCCGGGTCCATTGTATTAATCACATGGTGTCTCAATAAATTTAGAATTAAGATATTTATACAGGTTTTCTTTTCCTGCTGTGTACATTTTTTTGGATCTGATATCTTTGGGTGTGGTTATTCAGTCTACTATAGTCACCTGCATTTTTTAAAATTTATTTTTCTTTCTTTCTTTCTTTTTAAGCAGTGCTTGCTATGTAGCCCAGGCTGGCCTGAAATTTACTATGTAGCCCAGGCTGGCCTTGAACTCATGGTGATCCTCCTCTCTCAGCCTCTTGAATCCTGGGATTATAGGTGTGCACCACATGCCTGGTCACTTAGATTATTTTTAATTAAATGAATATAATTGGGGTTTTAATATAAATTGGCACCTTTTTTTTTTTTTTTGGTCCTGTAGATTGACTCCAGAGCCTCAGGCATGTTAAGATGCACTTTACCACTGGACTACATTCCCAGCCCCTTCCAATTTTTATTTATTTATTTAGTCTTTTTTTTCTTTTCTTTTCTTTTCTTTTTTTTTTTTTTTT